TCCTTTCTCTGCCTGCTTCTTTGTTCTTTGTTTCTGATACAGTGGAACAGCGATTCCTCGCCTCGTGTAAGTTTGTCCAAGACAGTCTTGGATTCTGAATTCCACTCTGTGGATTTCAGATTCCGAATACCTGTGGAAGATTCCGGATTCTTTGTCAGAGGAACTTGGATTCCGGGTTTAAAATTGTTGGCGAAAGTTTGGATTCCTTGGGTTGGATTGCGGATGCTGTTAAATCCCAGGATTTTGGATTCCACGAGAAAAAATGTCCCGTATTCCGGAATCCGCATTCCCTTGCAAATGGCGAGATTCTCATTTATTCTAATTTTTTCACCAGCGCGAATTTTTCTTTGTTCCCCTACTGATAAGTTAATGTTCAAAACTGATTGATTAAAATCAACACACGTCACGACGCCACTAAAAAACCTAGAGAATGGCTTTGTTCTCAAAGTTAGTTCATTGGTCAGCTGGGTACTAAGAGAGCCCAACATGGAGATATCCTGGAAGGCAATGAGTTGGAAAGTATGTTGTGACTCGGGTCTGCATTTGTCCCATCTCGTGACATGATGATTTTTTCATTTCACCAGGAAAATAAATGGAGTTTCATTCTGTTCTGTTGCTGATACTATGCAACGGTATGGCTCAAGGAAATTCAGGTAGCTTTGCCTATCTTTTTTTTTTTTGCACTCAAAGTTTTAAGTAGAGCAAGCACTGCTGCCAAAGTGTATGTGCCCGAGACAATGTGTAACAAAATTAATTTAGATAGGATCCATCAGCCACAAGGAAGACACATGAAAGTCATACCAATTGATCTCAAAACTTCATTTCAAATTCATATTATTTTAATATTGGTTTATTCAGATATTTACAATTTTATTTTCTCACTGTCCACAAATAGCAAAGGTTAGTGGTAGGTAGTGGGTAGTGTCTATATATATAAAAAATACGCACTCCTCGGATTTAAATTTGACTTTTGAGTCATTATCAAAATATCACTCAAAATTTCACTACTAGTACAGTGCGGAGCCCAACAACACACGTCTGCACAGTACCAGAACATGCGCAGATTCTGCAAAACTTACAAAATGATGAATTTTTTACGATTTGGCTTCTTTTTTTTTAAAGACCATGCTAACGATTCCTTTTTTTTCGTATAGCGATTGACCATTTTGGCCATGTTTCCCCGAACGATGTTACCCCTACGCGACCTGAAAATTCTCTGAAAAGAAATTGAAGAACTTATACTCAAAACCTTGTCTTTAAGACAAAATCCTTTAAAGAGGTAGCATCGACTCTCTTCTTGCATGCTTAATGCCCAAGAATTAAAAAAATCGGCAAAAAAAGGATTCGTTCAATATATCTGCTTCAGGTATTTTAGATGAAAAGGATGTGCTCTTTATATTTTTGTTTTAAACTTGGTACAATTTTCAGTCGTTTTCATGGACAATCATGAACTGAAATAAAAGGATGGGGTCACCGTACTTGTTTTCGTCCTGTTTACCGTAATTCTGAGCATTTTTTTACTAGTTGCGCGTGAAATTTTCGAAACTTAAACAACTGTCAAAAATTCTTATCATATAGCAAAAACCATGAATCTTACTAAAACCTAAACTCGCTTTTCTATGGGCTTTAAATTTTTAGCAAAATGGCTTCAAATTACCCGATCTTAGAAAAATGAAGAGAAATGGACAGTTTTAACATTATCTAATACTTCTCTGTGGCTCTAAATTCGGAAGTTCACGTCATTCATATCGAAAAATTTACATCTACTATCCAGATTTTTTTTTCTTTAGATATATTTTTTGTGTAGCCAAAAACGAGTAACTGAAACACAAACAAAAAGTGGGGGCACTGTTCTCGTTTCATCCCGAAAAGACAACAAAGGGCAATTTCAAATGAGCATTTTGCGCTAAGGGACTGGGGAGAGTTCCGAGACAAACACCTTTTTAGCACGGTAGAGTAATCAAACTCTCTATTAAAAGCATTTGGACTACAAAAGGGACCTTCGCTACCTCTTTTAGTGACAGGTGAAAATCACTGCCACCTTTGAAGTCGCAATGCTATGCGCAGTAGTTGATGAGCAGTGTAAAACAAGGGAATTACCTTAACTAAATGCTTTCTGTGGCCATACATTTCATCTTATAAAATAACTAAGATAGCACGCGCGCTCTGATTGGCCGAGAGCAATGTTTGCATGAGAGTATGTAAACATGGTTGTGGCGTCAAGTTGTTTGGCTTTTCGCGCGCTAATCACGTAAGCACCAAATTTGAAAAAGTTTTCGAGTTCAAAACTCGACAAGTTTGCTTTATTTACCCATTCCTTCGTCGGCTGAAACATGGAAAATCGTTACAAAGAAGGTGAGTCAATTTTTCTTCGCTTAAGCTGACATTTTAAGCGAGAAAACTCCGTATTTTGCAAAGCATCTTTTTGCAAAACAAGAACTCATTACGCGTGCAAGACTTCGTGGACAAGATTTTGCGACTGGTAAGAATTTCTCTTTTAATCAGTGCCATACAAAGAGTTTTGCGTTTTTTTCTAGGGAAAGTTATTTTATAAAAGCAATAGAAAACTTTTTTCCTGTGTTTGCATAGCCTGATATAAACACTCGAGGCGTTGGGAGAATTCTCGACGGTTATGCAAACCCTCGACTTCGTCTCGGGTTTGCATAACTGTCTCGAATTCTCCCAACCCCTCTCGTGTTTATATCAGGCTATGCAAACAGGGAAAACGTTTTCTATTGCTTAAATAACAGCGGAACAGATTTTATCCTTTATTTTATCCTGCTAACTACAGGCCAGTCCTAAGTATTTCTTGTAATTTCTTTGCGAACTCAAAGGAAAGGTCCTTCGATATCTCGGTGAATTTTCTGAATGTCTCGTTGTTAACCGTATTGGTAAAAAACAGAAACCCATAAGGAACTTAATGGATACCCGTGAGAAAATCCAATCTATGGACCGTTTCCCACTATTCATTTAACGCAGCGCTGAGAGGTTGCCATAGTTACAACATATCACTTCGTCTGTAACAAGGGGCCAAGAATTAAGACTGTGCGTGTTTAGCAACTGATTTATGCGCAATCACATAATTTGATTGCAGGGTGTGGTTCTGTGGTTAATTATACACTGACAAGTCCAGGATATCCAAATGACTATACAGCAGACAAGCACTGTAAATGGTCCGTTGCGATTCCAGCAGGAAAGATAATAAATGTCAGCTTTAAGTTGTTTGACCTTGAACCAGATTGGACCTGTGGGTAGGTGATTTAAACAACACGAATTCTTTCATGCATCGTACAATTAATAAGAAAACTAGGATATTTCTGTAGTCAACTATTTGTTAAGAATAAAACGCGACACTAAAAGTTCACAGTGCGACTTCCGTAACCAGGGGGCAACCTAGATAAAGTGGACCAATCGGTTTACGGGAAAATAACAATACATTCCAAGAAAGTTAGCTGTAGCCCAACCAGCAGCTCGCAAAAAGACAATAAGTTACTCGAAGCCCAAAATGAACATGTGCGTTGAGTTGTTGTTGTGTTGTGTTAGAATTTTAATCTAGCGAATGTGGTCTATTCACGGCAACCATTCTCAAAACCTAAAGCCGCGGCAACCTGTATTGAATCAGCGATATAAGATTAATGGTGTGCAGGGACCCTAGCTTGATATTTGAAAATATCTCTGATTACTAAAAAGGGGAGAAAAGGTCTTGGCTCAATGTGGTAGTTCAGTTAAAAGCCTTGTTTTCAGTTTATTTCCGACCTTTTTCTATGATAGTGATCTAGCCAAGATAGCACTTTATTAAAAAAAAAAACTCGATTAATTGAGTCGGGTTCAGTGGCTCAATGAATTGTTAAGAATTGTTCAATGATTTTTCGAATGCTGTTTAATGAAAATGAAGAGGGTGTTTGGGAAATATTTTGAGATTACTAACAGTAGACAAAGGTCAGACAACCACCACAACAAGGTTCCCTGGCATGCATATGAGCTCATTGATGAACTAATTTGTTTGTATGAATCGTTTTTCTATCCTTATTTCTTTCATTCTCAATTCATTACCCCATTTCCCCAAATGCGCAAACAAACTGCCCTTTAAAGGCGTTTTGAAAAAAATCCGGGAAAACTTTTCCTAGTCAAAAATGGTTGGAATCCAGGCCCTCCCTTGTTCAAGTGAAGCTGATCATACTATTTGAAATTCAACTTTTCAAGACATAAAAACGACACCGACAACAGCCAAACAGAGCGGGGTTGCAGCCGTTGACAGCTGGCATGTTTCGCCATTACACTGTGGCTCATCAGAACGGTGCAACGCAAACAGAGAAGCTCTGCTGAAAAAATAACGAAATAACGAAAGCCGTAACAATGGACTATCACACTCACCTGATCACGCCATAAGGTGTCTACAGGAGTGCCAAAGTCCTATTTTCAACGGCTACGTCCTGCGGCTTACACTCTTTACTTTTTTGTACGTCCAAGGATTGACTGAAACATGAAATACCTTAAAAACCCAAATGTTATTTACCTGTGGCTCACCCAAACAATAGGGACTACTAATATAAGAGAACATGCAAGTAAGCATATCTAGATTTCCCTCCAGGGGATACTCCCTATAATTGCCCATGCGGGGAGGTTCCGCTTGAAAGGGGTACCTTTTTTTGAGGCTTCAGGTCTATGAAAAGGACTGGGAAATTTGTCATTTTGGTCTGTCAGAGGTCCAACAGATGCATTTTATGGCTATGAACTAGTCGAGAAAACGTTACAGTTTCGGTGATTTCTTCACATTCAAAGAGTCTTTAAAGACAGTGAATTTACAGCAGTTACTGAAAGGGATGAATAACTCTAAACTAGTTACATGAAAGGGGTACCACCTGTCAATAACACGTATACGAAAGGGATACACTTTTTCTGTCAAAAATGGTATATGAAAAGGGTAAGGCCTTGTAGCTCGGGGTGGAGCCTCCCTGTATAAAAATTTGTTTAGTACCACCGGGTTTTTTCCTTTCAGTTTCGATTATCTGAAGATCACTGATAGCAACAACCTTGAATTGGGTAAATACTGTGATCGCGGATTCGGCTGGAATCAGTCGACCCTTGTAACTGGAGACTACGCAAATATCACATTCAAGTCAGATTTACGCGTTGAAGGAAAAGGATTTCAGTTGTATTTTAATGTACTGCCTCAAAGCGGTAAGTGAAAGTGTAAAACGTCTTTTTCTTCCTACGTGAAATGTGCTAGAAAGGAAAAGCGGATGCCTATATAGTCGATTCTTATTAGGGTACTTTGTCAAATTTTCTGAAATTTCGCCCGTCGAAATGCACGGAAAGCTACTCAGTTTAGCTGTGTGGATGTTTCTCAGAAAATTGGTCCCCACGAGCGCTTTGTTTGTACAGTGTTTGTAAGGACGGTCGGGTCCGACCAAAGCTCTCCAATATTCAAACATTCAACTAAACATTTCTACTTCACTGATTGGTTGTCAATTTAGATATCGGTCTATTTTTTTTCTCGATAGGACAATCTTGTTCTATTTTCGTTTTCGGCTGTTGTCAGTTCCAGTAGTCTCTGACCATTCGGTCTATTATAATGGAGAGCACACTGAAGGCTTTTATCACGGGCAGCTAACGACTGTTTTTTGTAAAATCTGTTCGGAGAAGCAAATATTGTCTAGAATTTTCTATTACTTGAGGACCGTTTAAAATTTTTTGATGACGGTTTTATTCAAGTGCAATTTTCGAAGCTCAGCTAATAAATTCCTGCCATTTTCTGAAATTTAATTTTTCTCATTTCACTCCCCAAGTTAAGCTATTTTTCGAAGAAAAAAGGAACCTAAAATTTTCGGATTCAGAAGTGTGATGGAGAGGTGAATCAGAAAAATCCTCACTTTTGTAATAAGTTAAATTGCATCTAAAATTTTCGGGAAAATAATACTGAAGCCTTTGTAATTTCGAAAAGAATCAAGTTCCCCTAGGATGACCGAAAAGATATCACTTTATAGCGCCACTTGGAATGCAATTGTAGAGATCTATTCTAAAAGTATTCGATCAGGATGGGAGGAAACAACCGTCTTAGGGTGCCCCTGTTATATTAAACGCCAGTAAATTATCACAGCAGCATGAAGCATTCTTCGTTTTCTTTGGCAGCCCTATGCAGTTCAGTGGTGAACAATATACTGAGATCCCCTGTATACGCACAAAGTTATCCACCAAATCTGCACTGCGTCTATAATATATCAGTTCCACAAGGCAAGATTCAAAAACTTGTATTTCAAATATTTGAACTGGCATCCGATCCAGAATGTAGGTAAGTTTCTTCCAAGGATAACTTTAATGACCGTTAATTCAGGATCCTTATTTTGATTCCTTGTACATCCACTAAATTGCCGCTTGAAATAATAAAAATTGCACCTGTTTTGATTGTGCTCTGATAAAATTCTCATTGGACGAATGATTTTCAATTTTTATGTGTTGTTATCAGGTCATGCATGAGTAGCCATATTCCCAGCGGCTTCGAAAACCGTTTTTTCCCATCCACACTTTTTTTTTTAAACCCTTTCAGTGTGGCTTAGTGACGTCTTAGGGGTCTGAAGGTGATAATTCTTATCAAATGTTCTCAATTTACAAGAAAACATGGCGATTGTCGAAAGGGTAGGGGAGGTACGGAAGAAAACAGTCGGGAAGTATGATTGGGGATTTGAGATTTTTTCTCTCTCTCCCCACTTTGCGCCTTCAACCAGCAGACAGTAGCTGATTACTAACACAGGCTATTAGAGACCTTTAGATTCGAGGACGAGAACGACTACGAGTACGAGATTTAACTTAAAGTTTTTCCGCGAATTCTCAAAAAATAGACATCCCGGAAAGCTTCATTGTAATTTTTTTCCTTAAAAAGGTAGCACTGTTATCTATATTGAAGGAGGTTAAGCCCTCCCTCGGACGCAAAATAATAAAACTTCTAACACTTGATATCTCGTTTCCGCCATGACGACATTCTCGCTAAAAATCGTAGTAGAATGACGACGGCTACCAAGTTTTCCCGCGCTGGTTCACGCGCGCGCACTACTTAAAATACGGAAAAACCGGGCAACAAAAAACATGCAACTTGTCATGCAACGATGCTGTAAAACCAGTTGAATAGCGATGTTGCGCCTTTTACCACCCACATCAAACCTGTCTGGCAACAAATCAGGTTGTTAACAGGTTTGAACTTGGGTGGAAAAACGTGCAACATCGCTTTTCATCTTGTTAAGCAGCAATGTTGCAAAACAAGTTGCACGTTTTTGTTGCCCGTTTTACCGAAACTTTAGTACCGAGGAAATCTCGTCCTCGTTGTCGTACTCGTCTTAGAATCTAAAGTTCTCTATTAATTCAAACCTTGCAGCGATTCTAACGTACTTGTAAGTCCACTGATGAAGGGCCAGACCCGAAACGTTTGGAGAGGAACTCAAACCAAAACACGATTCTTTAGTTCATGGTTGTTTGTTGAACATTCCCTCACTTTCGATTAATTCGAAAGTTAATCAGTTATTAAACTTGACATAAAACAAAGATGACAGTTTTCTAAAAACTGTAATCGGAATCATAATCAGTACGTTTTCTTGCAGGAACGACTACTTGAGCATTTCAAATGGAACTAACACCATCGGCCAATACTGCGGTAACTTAACTGGAAACGAAATTCGCGTTTCCCATGACTATCTGTTGTTAACATTTCATTCGGGGACGCAATTCAACCCGAAAAACAAAGGATTTGAAATATTTTTCACAGCGGATGCTCACATGCCTGGTAAGTTATTTATAGGCTAGTTATTTATCATTCAAAGTTATTTCCCAAGGGTTTAAAGAAATAATATTATTACTTACAGACAATTGCTATTATTATTCATTCGAAATATTTCCCCGATTCTGATTGGGTAAAAGCACACACACAATTCACCATAACCAGCTACTGATGACCAAATTTGGAAAAATTTTGCGAGTAATCAACCGATGACGTCAAAAGTGCAGCGTCCTTGCAGGTTAATGCACCGTTAACCGAGAAGACCTGGGGACAAGGTTGAGTTGTTTTGGTTGTGAAAACAAAAGTGACGGACATTTCACTCGTTTCAAGAGTAAGAACCAGGCGAAGTAATAGCTAAAAACGTATCAAGAATAGCAGGAAGACAACTTGAAGGTCGACATCTGCTATTTGGAGAATAGTTGCGGAGCTGAACAACCCTAAACGTGCACTATCGAAGATGAACTTAACATCGATAGAGGTAAGCATGTTTTAGCTATGTTTTTAAATTAGGAATTCTTTTGAGTTAATAATAAAAAGATTATTGAATTCGGCTTTCGTATCATATAAAGAATTATGGAGATCTCGTGCTCTTGTGGAAAAATTCCTAAAGGCTACTAGAAAAAGGAACCTTTTTGGTGAAATTAGTTTTAATTTAATTATGTTTTAGCCCCTTGTCCATCAGGCTGGGTGTCAAGTGTTTATGGTTCCTGTTATAAGATATCTTCCGAAAAACTGGTCTGGATCTCAGCAAAAACTGCTTGTGAAGCATTGGGATCAAACCTTGTTATACTGAACTCAGTGACTGAAATACAAAACGTCATTGGAAATGCAGCGGGTTTTCTATGGATTGGTCTGCAGAGGGATTTCAAGAATAAGTCGCGGTGGCTGTGGGTAGATGGGTCCGAAGCTTTCTTTACCTACTGGTGGACCGGAGAGCCAAACCAAGCCAATAGTGAAGAGAATTGTGCAGTAATGACCCCATACGTAAGAAAATGGAATGACATAGCTTGTACTGGAGAGACTTACAATTACATTTGTGAAATCAAAGGTAAGCACAGCTTTCTAATTTCATAAAACGAAAGTAATTTATACAACCACCTTAATTTGTTTCGCAGGTTGCCCTAAGTCCTGGATTCAAGTGTTAGGCTCTTGCTTTAAAGCCTCGTCTATCACCCTAAATTGGCTGTCAGCAGAGTTTGCGTGTAAAGCAGTTGGTTCATATCTTACTAATGTGAATTCACCAAGTGAACAACATGTTCTTCATGGTTTATCGGAGGGAAAAGGCACGTGGATTGGTATGCACGGGAAACCCAAGGACAACTCAAGCTGGGTTTGGGTCAATAATTCGCAAGTTAGTTATAATAATGACTTGCGTAATCGACTGGACAACTTGACAGGTCAAGGAGATTGTATAGCTATAGATTCAAAAGGAAAATTGAAGAAAAGGAACTGTAATCATCAACTTAATTTCGTTTGCACAGTACAAACAGGTAAGAGAAAAATATTCTATTTTTATACCTAGTATGCTTGTGTAGACCGAACCAAAAACCGTACTTTCTTGAAAAAACCAGGAAGAGGGATCCTCAATCTTTGGTCAAGATATTTTGCAGCAAACAAATCTTTTAGAAAAACAACAAAATTATTCCTAAGGAAGCACAAAAGCACTCATCTGCCCGCCAATATGCCAATTCAATTCCCAGCGTCGACGCAATCGTGGTTCGAGTTAAGTGATTCTTCTCCTCCTGATCCGAAGGTTTTTTTTCAGTACTCTGGTCCCATCCCCTACTCCATCCTAACCCAAAAACTAATCAGCCACCACCAGCTGACCGCTCCAGAAATACCATAACATACTATAATGCTCTTTGTTTGTCACTCCAAAATTTTGCACAAGCATTGTCTTAAGTTTCTCTTAGGAGTTAAAATGGCCCCAAGAGAAACTGAAAACAATGCTTATGCAAAATTTGGGGTGACAAACATAGAGCGTTATGGTATGTTATGGTATTTTCAGGAGTGGTCAATTTATATTATTATTGCTATTATTTCTTTACTTTTAAATAATTTCTCTGGTAGGGGGGACTTGCTTGCTAATGTATGGAATTTTTTTTTTTTTTCAAAAATTACGAAGACAACTGTCAAGGATGGTGAACAAAATTCATATTGATTACAGAAAAAAAGAGAGAAAACAGCCGACATTTGGTGGCGCTACCACTGATTTCCCCGCCAAGTGACGCCAAATGACATCTGAGAAACGAGCGCAGAAATTCCATACTGATGACGCGTCACTACCCAGATCTGGGTAGTTCTTCTGATTGGTTGAATCAAATTTCCCACGCAGCACGACCAATCAGAAGCAATACCCAGATATGGGTACAGCTGTGGGTAGTGCCGCGTCATCAGTATGGAATTTCTGCACTTGTTTCTCACACGTCATTTGGCAGGGAAACCAGTGGTAGCGTCTACAAATGTCGGCTGTATTCTCAGGCTAAAAAATACTCTGACGTAACTTCTTTAGTTTTGACAATTCTTCAGGTCTTTTACTTAATTACTTACAGCATAAAATGTATTTTTTTAAACTTTTCTCCATTCATTGTTTCTATCCATAAGGAACTAGGTGCAAAAATCCTTCCTCGGGGAATGATATGGTTGTTTCCGATTGTCTGTCATCCACTCAACAATATGGAAAGACATGCTCATTTAACTGTGCCCTTGGTTATCACGTTAGCGGCCCTTCATCTGCTCGCTGCGGGATAGGCGGAGTATGGAGTGACGACGTTCAAACAATCAGATGCCACGGTTTGTATTTTGTGTTTGTATCCCTACTGTTCCCTTTTTTGTTTTAATACGAGAACTATTCATTGTTCATTAAGATTATTAAGAATTATTCGTTGTTGTTATGTTGGATGCACGGATGCATGGATGGATTGACGGACCGGACTGATGGATAGATAAATAGACGATAGATGGATGAATGGCTAGATGGATGGATGGATGTATGGATGGAATGATGGATGGATGGGAAGATAGACATAGTAGTAGGCATCTTTCAGTGTTAGGAGACTATGAATTAGCGCTCTGGTAAAGGTGGACTCGACAGCGTCTTCTGTGGGTGCACACTCCAGTAGTGCAGGAGTGGCAGTATCATTTTAATGACTTGGCTCACGTCTCTTTTAAGACCAAGATGAATGAGATATCATCGTCATCTTTCCATCAACATCATCGTCGTCGACATGAACATCATTCATCATTATTGTCATCATCATCATCATCTATCATCATTATGATTATGATTATCATAAGCAGCAGATCGTAGTTACCATTCGTAAAGCTTGAGTTTTGACCACTAAAGGATGTTTGTTGCTGTTACGTAGAATGCGAAAGTGCTCTTGGTATGGGAGATGGAGCAATATCCAATGGACAAATTAGTGCGTCCTCACAACTGGATGCCGACCATGCAGCCATCAACGGTAGAATCACGTCGTCAACAAAAGGGTCGTGGTCAGCTTTCAATAATGATGTTAGTGAGTGGCTCCAAATAGATCTGGGCAGTCAAGAGCACACCCTTGTAGCAAAGATTGCTACACAGGGAGAAAATGCTAATAGCCAGTGGGTCAGACATTATACATTACAGTACAGCAACACCGGTTTGTCCTTCAACCTTTACAAAGATCAAGGACAAAGCGAAGGAAAGGTAGGAAAAACAAATAACATTTAATGAACATCAAACGGATATTTCATCAGACCTGCATGTGTTACTAGGGGAGCCATAGTATTACATGATGTAATCAGCTGTTTACCTGGTGCAAGAGCCCTACTGATGACTCTCATAGGTCTTATTATTATGACATTTCTATAGTTACAACGTTTCCGTAGTTTCCCTAAGGCAAGTCACGTATTAATGTCCCCTCCACTATCTGAATAGAGTTAAGAGATTTTAATGTTAACTTTGTAAAGTCAGTCAATGACTTTAGAGACGCAAATGAATTAGCGCTCTTGGCTTTTTTTTCAGGTGTTCGATGGCAACACAGACCCTGATACCATTGTTTCTCATAACCTGAATCCACCCATTAGAGCACGGTACATCCGTTTCCTACCAACAGCTTGGCATAAACACATATCTATGAGGGTAGAGCTCTATGGCTGTAAAGGTAATGAATTCATGAGTATACGTTAAATACCATTCCAAATAACTTTGCAGACAAGCCAGGTGGTTTCTCCGTTTGTTTACGTACAAGATTATTATGAAATAGAATTTTCTAGTTATTTATCATGCTTTTTGAATTGTTCATTCATGATTCAAACCAACAGAAATGGGGAAAAGCAAGAAAAGGAAGGGGGGAAATAAAAATTGTTTTTATTATAATTATTATTGTTATGTTATTAGATATGTACGATTTGGCGGTAAGAATCACACTGGAATCAGTGAACGTGACCTGGACAATGAAAGCGGCAGGAAATAGAACTTTCGTAATTACGTTAAGGCTTGGCCTGTGCTGGCTAGCTAAGACTCAATATATTTTTTTTGCCACAATCGAGTTAGTGCTTATTCCTTCGACAACATGAATTATCTAATTAATGGAATTGTTATCATGTGGGAATCATGTAAAGTTGTTCGTCCGACTGAACTTGGCATTTTAATTCTTTTATTGCCGAAATCGCTTTTTTTTAAATGCATAAAGTGCACTCACACCCTAAAGCAGAAAAGCTGCACCATGTCTGGTCGACTGTTGTGTTTTTGTAGCTGAGCTATATAATTCATAGCTAACATTTAAAAACTCTACGCAAATTATTACAATCCATGACTTGTAATTTGCTAAAGATCGTATTCTACCGTGTCAATACATAAATCATCAATATGATCCATTAGATTGAACCTCAGTACTACCCAACAGAATCCATTAAATCCATTATTTACAAGAATAAGATTAACTACGTTTGGTGACCAACTTCAGCTTTAAATCAATAAATCAATCATTAAATCAATAATCTTTAACTAAAAGAAACTTACTTTCTCAATCATTAAATCAATAATATTTAACTAAAAAAATTACTCTCTCAATCTAAAGAAGAGATACAAATTTTCATTAGGGACACCCACATTTGGCCATTGGCTCCTAGATGGATTCGATACAGATGTAAGGTCAGTAGAGAAACATAGCTTACTAAATAAAGCCTACATAGACAACATTCATATCTATAAAATAATTATAATTATTATTCATTCAAAATATTTCCCCGATTCTGATTGGGTAAAAGCACACGCATAATTCACCATAACCAGTTACTGATGACCAAATTTCGAAGAATTTTCTGTTTAACTAGGAAATGACGTCAAAAATGTAGCGTTCTTGCAGGTTAATGCACCGTTAACCGAGAAGACCTGGGGACGAGGTTGAGTTGTTTTGGCTGTGAAAACAAAAAATGGCGGACATTTGACTCGTTTCAAGAGTAAGAAATAGGCGAAATTATAGCCAAAAAAAATGGCAAGAACAGCAAGAACACAACTCGAAGGGCGACATCTGCTATTTTGAGAATATTTGCGGAGCTGAACAACCCTAAACTTGCATTAATTGTTAATTAAACGCGAAAAGGAAGAATAGGACAAATATTGTTGTTAATAATTTGCTGTTTGATGTCTTAAGAATACCCCATCTTTAGTACGGACAGGGCCTTATTTATTTGTCTTATTTTATGTAGGTATGTTGGTCCGGTCAGTTACATTGACGGCTGGTGTCCTAGCAGCAAAGCGACATATTTCAGTCACAACGGCTCCTACGTTACTTTGCCAATAATAAACATAACTAGTTGCGACTTCACGATTGCCTTTTGGATAAAATCCTTTAGTTTAGATGGCCCTCTAATGGCACTTTGGTCTATGAGTGGGAGACTATTGTACGCAACAATCAAGAGCTCCCGTGTTATCTTATCGATACATAACTCTCTCGAAAAAACAAACTTCGCAATCAAGTATTGGAATCATATAGCTGTAACATGTTCACAGTTTCAGATCAAGGTCTTTGTTAATGGTACGGAGATACCAATGAAAGAACAACGGAACGAGTACTTATTCTTATTAGCGGATCATCGCGAAACGGAAAATACCATAGGGAATAATCCGTACTTACTCAAGCTACCCTTCGTAAATGGCATATTTGATGGAGCGGTAATGGACCTTCATGTGATTGGAATTGCCTTGACAGCGACCGAGATTTCAGATTTGAGTAAAGGTTAGAATCAGTGTAAACTTGAATAACCTAAAATCTTTAAAATCAACCACACGACTACAAAGATTTTTTTAGTCCTTTAGCAAAAACAAAACCAGTCCCTTTTTACCAAGGTATAAATTTTTCCAGACCTAAAATAATACAATGTTCACTTGAAGCTATAAAGTGTAGAAGAGAATCTGGGAGCCGACTCGAGTACTAAAAGCCTGGTTAAACCAATGTTAACCAGGATGGGTCGTCAGCTAAATACATTATCCTAAAAAATGAAACAGCTAGCAGTTCAGCCCAACAGAGTGACGGACAACTTTCAAAAACCACATAGCTTTGATGGATCCTACACTTAAGCTTGTCATTTCGAAATGCCCCCATGGGGGGGGCGGGGGGGGGGTGTTATTGTCTTGACACGTTCACATGACATGTGATATTTTTAAGATGGACAGATTGCCTTATTCACAGTGCTCCGCGCGGGAATTTTGGCTTGTAATCAAAACGTTCACGTAGAAGGGAGTTAAGTTATTAAAAATCTTCAAAGTTCAAGGCGAACTTTAGTGTCCTGTATGAAAATAAAAAAAATAATGATGACTGTTTTTAATAATTAAAGGCAAACCCAAAGCTCCTGTTATTTACAACAAAGAAAATGAAATAAATGGTTGCACGGTGAACTTGTCATGGAGTCGTAGTGTGTGTGCCACAACGAAGAACACCATACGCTACAGAGAGATAAATCCACAGGGCAATGCAGTTGCATCAGTAGATGTTACTAATGACGAACCCGCAACAACCTTCTATGTCATGACACTTGACTGTGACAAGATCTATGAGATAGCAGTGTCTTCTTGGTTTGGAGGGCTTCAGAGCGACTGGTCAATTTCTTGGCAAGTTAAAACAAACTCAGGTGTGATATAAATAAACGAAAAGTTCGTTGGTTAGCTCGCGCAAATAGTGTTAGCTTCCCCTCGAAATTTTAGAGGGCCTGGTTTTACCGAAGCATCTTACGATAATGCATGGTGAAATCCGAGATGGTACGCACCTCTCTAGCAAATCTAATTTCATTGAAACCTTGATGACACGCAGCTCTAGTCTTTCAATGCTAGGGCACTGTTGCTTGTTTATTGTTTACTCAGACAATCCTGTGAGGCCTTGAAAGAACCAACCCAAACGTCCAATCACAAGTATTCTTGGTTTGCAACCACGTGATAAGTGGGGCCATGTTGATTGACAAAACAATGCGATAGTATTTTTCGCAAAATTTGTATGAAAAAGAGAATTTAATTCCCAGCCCCATAGGGGGCGTCATGCATGTTCCTTTGTTTGGTATGATCAGAGAATTAATTTGTAGTTTTTCCCTTATCCTACAAGTACAACGTTTCCCTATTCCTAAGAAGTAAATTTCAAGATATCCTTCGTTTCGTAACAGCCAAAAAAATGTTCCCTTATTTCAGCTGTTTCCGCAAATACCTGGAAAGACACTTTAAACTTAACATAAACGTGAAAACCCCCAAAACTGCCATTCTCCTGACGTGTGCTCTAAGGACAAGTTCTAAATCAAAGCGACAACAAGTATTCCCTAAGTAATTGTCCTTACTGTTTCTGACCTTACAGTTAACCATGGCATGGCAAAAATTTTGGGAATAGCTCTTGGGATTACTGCAGCTCTGGTGGCAGCAATTATCGTGGGGATAATTTTCTACCGAAAGAGGCAAAAAGAAGAAGAACGGTATGCATGTTATTAGTATTAAATTAGAATTTCGGTTGGATTGAAAAAGGGTTACGTCATCTTTACGTTGGTCCAGTAAAGCTCACTGCGACATCCTTGACTTTTTCTTGTTAAGGTCTCAGGAACAATAAAATACTTTTGGTCGGCCTGGAAAACTGTTATGTGTGTTTTTTAACTGCCTGGTGCATTTTCGCATCAAATACGTGTGTATGAAGTAGTTCAGATGCTGAGAATATATGTCTTTGTCTTTAATAACAAATTGAAAAAAAAAAAAGTTTGGTCCGCAAAGGATTCACTGTATTGCAATAAGAAGATTATTTCGAAGTCCTCACCCGCTCGGGTAACCAATCAGGACTCAGAATTCGCTTGACCTTACCCTTTCGCGGAGCCACTCCTAGAGTACCAACCAGCCAAGCCGGAGAGAGAGAAAAAAGGAAAACAAACTGTCACCGTTTATTTCTTCTTTTCTAGTCCATGCAGTTTCGTTCCGATTAAAGTGCAATTTTTCCACAGAAGCCCTGCTTCAGAGCAATATTCATTATTGATATTTGACATTTCTTATTAATTTTAGATCCAAGAAAGAAATTATTCATTTTCTCTCACTGGAAGTCTCACCCGAGCGGGTAACCATTATGGAGGAGCTTGGTCGAGGGGCTTTTGGCAGGGTTCATAAGGGTGTGGTGAAGGAAATACCAAAACCAAATGTAGATTACAAGAACAGCCAACGAACATTGGACAAAAACGAAGGACGAATTATCGCTGTTAAAGTTCTTCTTGGTGAGTTACTTATAATTAGAATAATAATAATAATAAAATAAAAGACCTAATGCAGTGGCGGATCCAGGGAGGGACCCGAGGGACGGCCCCCCTTATTTTTAGACCAAACCCCTTATCTCAGGGTCTGGATGACCGACCCACCCCCCTCCCAACTTCCTGAAGGTTTGGATCCGTCAACGCAAAAAAAAACATCTTGTACGCGTACCTTGATACGTAAATGTTGAAATTGTATTATATTTAGAAGTAAGATATGAAGAATTAAGCAGATCGAGGAGGGTGTTATCCACCGAGGCCGAAGGCTGAGTTAGATAACACCCTCCGAGATCTGTTTAATTCTTCATATCCTACGAAAGCCAAATTCATTAATTGTTTTAATTGTTTTCATTCAAAATAATTCCTAGTTTAAAAACATAGCTAAAACGTGCTTACTTGCATCAATGTTAAGTTCATCTTCGATAGTGTACTTTAGTATAGTATTGTCGTTAACGGTTTATGATTAGCAGGAGTAATTTCCGTTGGCTATCCAGAGGAGCTTGATGTCAAAGTTTGTCAGAGGCCTTTTTGAAGACTTTTTCTCAGGCAAAAAATGAACGGCACCAAGGGAGCTCTGCCTGTTCCTCTGAAAAGGGTGATCTTTCCTACCCGATATTCTTGTTTTTTTGTTGTTGTTGTTGTTGTTGTTTTTTTTAGAAAATGCTGGAGAGGACGAAAAACGACAGTTTCTTCAGGAAATTGACCTTATGAAGGACATTGGCTCGCATCCAAACATTCTAAACATATTCGGCTTTTGGGTTCGGTCAGAGCCCATCATGTTGATCATGGAGTATGTTCCTCACGGAGATCTTCTGCAATGGCTTAGAAACAAACGGCAGCAGGTAAAGCTGGTTTATATTCATCGATTTTAGCCATTTTCACTTTTTCGAATATCAACTTTTGGAATCCATTTTGCCGCCATGTGCAGTCTCGGTTTCATTCTTCGCGGGATACGGGTCAGCTTATTTGCATAAGTTTGCACGCCGAGATATATATCGAAACTGCATTCGCACGAGATCCCCACACATCGATTTTGATTTGTTAACTGCGGACACATACCTTGCATTAGCACATATATATTGTAGTATAGTGTAGTTAACCGTGTAGAGAAAATAACCCTTTTAATCTTGCAAATTGCTTTACTAATTCCAACTAGAATATTTGTAAGGCTAACTCCGTATGACCTATACTTGCAGTTTACAAAGAAGAAAAATGATCATACTGATGTCCTTGAAATACTTGAGCCGCCTGCTCCTGTGAGACCAAGATTGAACCCTGCAAAGGAAGAAGGGCCGGAGGAAGACATGGATGGGTGGGAAATAAAAGAAGAAAAGGACGAAAATGAAAAACAAGGGGGAAATGACTCCAAGCAAATGCTAGAACGACAAAACCCTCAGACATCAAAGAAAACAACATTTGATGACAATGTTGAAGGCCAACTTGAAATACCACCCCAGTTTTCGATATTGGAAGAAGACTCAACATCACCGGGTCAGAGCTTGAGAAATCAACTAGAAGTTCCTACGAGCATTACTATGGCAGGGGGCGAAAGACCCACTTATCAGCTCACGACGTTTGAGGAACCAAAGGGAAGCGATGAAATTAGCTTTATCATAGAGAAAGAGGATAGAAACAAAGATGCTAATGGAAAGCATGAAGAAATAGAAAGTTTGGAAAATGTCAAAAACGAGTCACAAGGGGATCCCGTGAACGTATTATCTTCAGAAACCGAACCCGGTAAAACAGAACACGAAAAGAGGATACAGTCAGTACCACAGACCTTTGAAGACGACCAGTTTCCTGAATCCTTTAAGAGCACCGAAGTGAGAATAGAGCAGGACGAAGACAATTGTGACATCGACCATAAAGATTATTTTATTTCTGCAGATGATATTATGTGTTTTGCGTGGCAGATTGCTAAGGGAATGGTGAGTTGAATCTTTCTATAAGAAGATATCATTCAAGCAATCCCAAATAACGAGGTCTAAAATAATTCGTTGCCGAAAGATGGGTTAAAAAATGCTCATGCAAAAATGGCTGAACCTCGTTTCTTTTTGTCATATTTAGTAACCATGGTTACTTGCTAGCCAAAATCTGTCTAAGAAGTAAATGACCAGTTTCAGAGGAAAAAGATTCACGGAAGGGGCTACCAAGTAGATAGAGAACAGTAAATTTTATCGTAATTCTATTAGGAATACTTGGCCAGTAAAGGATTTGTTCATCGCGATCTGGCAGCTCGTAACATCCTTCTTGGTGAAAACAGAGCGGTGAAGATTTCTGATTTTGGATTGCTACGCCGCACCGGTGAAAGTGAGATATATAAGGTGGCAACCGTTAAGAAACTGCCCATAAAATGGACGGCACCTGAAGCATTGCAAACTGGAACTTTTACTTCCAAGAGCGACGTGTAAGTTTCATGATAATTGTGCGATATTTCTTAGGCCTAGATTTACCTCCTACGCAAGCCGGCGTTAAACTAAACGTTTAAGCGTCATCGCAGAAACCTACTATACTGTAGACTACGAGTAGTCCCCATTTTTCCTCAGGGATAGTAGAGCGAGCGAAACGCAAGAGCGCGTGAAAATCACCCCACGCGAGAAAAAGCGACACGCGGAGGGGAGAGAGAAAATTTTTCTCTCTCTCTACCGCGTCTCGCCTTTCTCGCCTGGGTTGATTTTCACGCGCGCTCGCGTTTCGCTCGTTAATTATACTGAGTCAACTTCCTTAAATTCCCCTACGTTTTTAAAGGGGCTCTGTAACACAAGTTGCCAGCCTTTTTAGCCGAAACCTGTCTTCGCATCGATTGAATTCAATTTTGTCATTTAAGACTATATTTAGGGACTTAAACTGTTTCCTGTCGTCTTTTGCTAAGGATAGTAAGGATGGACACGGATATTGGCCAACTTTTTCAATTTCTAATGCTATGCTTACAATAATCACCAAAACATTACTGTGGTTATTGTTCCCTCATGACGAAATTTATTCAATATCTTCTTCATAACTCTACAGGAGCACTGACTTTGTGTATGAGTACAGGCAGTAAGTAAAGACTTCAGCACAGAATTAACCTAAAATGGTAACACCCTCGTGACAAAGCCCCTTTAACCAAAGACACTTTTCAGCAAGACCAGGTCACTCTTAGGAAATTTTTGTTGAGCATTCAAGGAGCTTTTTAAAAGACTCCGAGTAACTGTCTCGCTAAACAACTGGTGATGAATAAAATTACACCCAGTGGTCAGCATAATATTTGGTCGAGAACCGTCATTATCTTAGCATGGGCGAAAACTATTGACCTTTCTACATATAGAAAAAAATCTAAAATTATTGATGTTAGGAGTCGAAACAATAGAGAGGAATAAAATGAATCTGAAATTAAATGAGTTTCTCTCTTCCTCCCATCCGAACATTTTGCATTTTAAGCTCAATGTTTTACCATTTCACCGATTATTTGTTTTTATCATGCCTCATTCCTTAGATGGTCCTTCGGAGTTCTTTTGTGGGAAATGGCTACCATGGGTAAGATATATTAAAGGGTTTTACTGATATTGGAATCAGAATGATTTCTCATTTTAATTGTTTTTATTATTACTATTATTATTATTGAAAAAACTTCAAAAAATTGCATCACGCCACACAATAACAGTTCTTAACGCATTTCAAGTTGGCTTAAAATTTCTCTGACCCTTAATCTTTGATCATTAAATTTGACATTTTAGGGGGAACGCCTTATCCCGGAATTAGCCATGCCCAGCTGCACAATGCCCTTAAGACGGGGCATCGCATGGAACAACCAAACACTTGCAGTGATGAAATGTAAGTAAGCTTATTGCAGTTAATATTTGTACCAAACAAGAAACACAACATGACGATATATACATAATAAACCTTCAAACGTTCATAAAGCCACTTTCTCGACCACTTCTTTTTAGTTCATCAGGGAAAAGTCAGATGTAGTATATAATACTATTCGACTACCTTCGTCTTCATGGGTAGCCCGTGAAATAATTAAAAAAAACTGATGGCGCTCTGGCAAGTAAACCTGAGACTTTGCGACACGGCTGCGACTAGGTGTCGGTCAGACGAGGTAAAATCATCCTGCAATTTTATTAATGTTCCTATGGCGTCATGAACGTCAATAGTTACTCGCAAATGCTCCTCTTTAAAAAGGATAATTTCATACCTCCTTGCTACGCTGCCTTCGCTTAAGTAAAAACGAAATCTTAAGTAACCCTATCGGCTAAACATGGCATGGTAAATAGCTAAGAAGGTGCTATATGATCGTTCATGTGAGTATATTCCTAACTAAGATTGTTGCTGACTGACCTGCGGAAGTCGTCATCAAAGTCAAAGTCAGCCGTGCATCGCCAGTTGATGATATTTAAGTTTCGCTAACGTCACGATTGATTAACTCAAACATGGCATAAAACAGAGTATTTGATCTCAACAGATACAAATTAATGCTGGACTGCTGGAATGATGACCCGAACGAACGACCCTCATTCTCCGAAATGATACCAACCCTGGAACAGATGATGACAGCTGATACTCCTTACTATGATTTTACACTGTTGGATGAAAGTCAGGAATGTTACAATGATCAATGCCCCAGCACCAGCAAAACTGGTGGATACGACACTCGTTTGTGATGATCTTACACGGAGTCGTCCTAACCAGTGTTATTTGGAAATACTGGACTGGTGGTTTGTAGATTACTGAGTCTAGAGTACGTTACGATAATGGACATTTTGTATCGCTACCCAGTAACTTTCAGTTAAATCTAGCTAACACTGTAAAATAATTGGGCTGTTTAGATCAGTAACAACGTACAAAATTTGGAGAAGGATATCGCTGAACTGTGATCACGATCAAGGCCATGATAACAGGAGTTTCAGTTATTATTTACATTGTACATACTTGAAATTAAATGTTAGTGAATGGTATCGTTTTAATGAAACACAAAGATTGTAAGGGACCTTGTTTACAATTCATCAAAAAAAAGGTCCACTTTGACAATTTCTCCATTATTATAAATAAAATAGACTCAAAACCTATTTACGGGTGATGATTCAGAGCTTTTCAGCCTAGAATCAATCTAAGGCTTCTTATGGTTGCAGCGGAGAATTTGACGAGGCACGCAAAAGGGAGAGCTTGCAACGACCATCTTCGTCATCAAAGCTTCTGCAAAGCGTATTCACTTTATAGCTTAACCACTTCGACCAACAATACAAAAATATAATTATAATTAAATTAATGACAACAACGAAGTAATAATTTATGTACCATTCTAGACAGTGTGAAGTTGGGCATTTAGAGTTGCAAACCCCCTAATTTGGCCATTTGCCTTTTTGGTATTCTTACTGACCTATCTCTTTCATTTGATATGTTTTCATTTTTGTCACTGAACTGTCGTTTCCGTCAACCCGTTCGGAAGAGTCTTGTTCGGAGAGCTTATGGGGGGATCATCACAGGATTCTTCTAATATAAACTTGTTTAAGTTATGAGCAAGTACTCATAATTGTCTTAAGCGAGCGGCACCTCTCACATTAGAAAGTAATTTTCAAGTAATTCCGTAGAAAAAAAAGCACTACTGAATGAATAAATGGGTGAACGAGTGAATGAATGAATAAATAAGTGAACGAAACGAAGGAACGAACAAACTTGATTCTTCGTGGTGTAAAGAACTTTTCAACAAAAAAGGAACATATTAGTCTTGTATCGTTGGTTTGAATGCTTTTGTCCAATTTTCGTGATACTGCCTCTTTAAAAACCCAATAATGAGGCATGGGGAAATTCAATTAAATTAGTGTTGAAATTGGTTTTAAAATCTGATAAAAGGAGACTAAAAATAAATTAAAGACCCTAAAAATGTCATCGCAGAGCTCTCTTCAACTCTTTTTCTCGATTTGGGCGGGTTCTATGTTCACAGAGCAGCAAGAGGCCCTAATGTCAATTTGTTCGAACGCACGGACACTGGCATCAGTTGACAACTGCCAAAAGAGTAACAATAACTCCAAAACACGAGATTCTGATGAAACAAGAAACTACTCGCAATTTCATGTCCATTGTCCATTGTGCCATGTAATTCCAGAGTCCTAATCAGTCGCTGGACGAGTAGACCGTAGCCTGCCTATAGATTGTGGGGACAAGACACTTGTCCAGGCTTCCGCTATCTGTGTGGAGCTCCGTGTGGTCTGAAAAAGTTCTTCAGCTGTGGTGGTAAGGCAGGTGGTCTTTGCGGCGGTGAAGAGTTTTTTTCTTGAGGAAATACTCCAGAATTAAACTGAAAAGTCAGCGAAATAGTCGATGGCGCAGCACCTGGCAAGGCAAGTACGCGCTGTTATAATCTGATTCTAAGCCTAACTCCTTTGAAAGCGAAATGCAAAGAAACACTCACAAAACAATGGCAAAAGAGCTCCGTTTTCAAAATTAGCATAAATGCTCTAACAGAGCAATAAAATAGTGCAATATGTTCAGTAATTCTTCAGAAACTAGCAAGCAATGAAGAGCAAACCTGATTCCGGATTCCTAGAGGGACTTTCAGAGGCTTTACAACGCGTAGTTGACTTCTTAGAGTTGCCAGCAATGAGTTCCTCCTCTCCCAAACCCTTTCCAATTTGTACTATTCCTAAAGAAATGAAACAAAAAAAAGCTTCTTCATCCAGGGACACTGGTGCTTAACGGCAGAAACGATCATATCGCCCCTACAATTGACCAAGGGGGTGATCAGTGATTCTAATACGACTGGAATTTTAAAACTCAGAAAATCTATTATCCGTTCCATCGTGTTCCACGGGTCACAAAAAATGCTACTAAAACAGGGAACGGGACAATAGAATGATCATGGATAGGAAAGTTAACTATGGGGACAAAACCTAACCATACTAAACCCAACCCTTATCACTAACCTAACTACCCATTTCCTGTCTCGTTCTCATTTCCGCTTTCCTATGCTAAGTTTCCGTTTAGTAACATCCAGATTCAGAATGAGGAAATCGCGAAATTACCATAATTGCTTTTTACTATAGTTCCTTTCGTCAAGGTAATGCAACAGCTCTCTCATGGTCTCACATAAATGGCTTTCAGAGAACATTGAACAAACAACCGAAACGATGCCTTCAGCCTCCCAAACACCAACTGGAGGTCAGCTGCTACATTAGAGGACTATTGAGACAGCATATACACCGGCTCACAAGTACTCTTATTAAGGAGGTTAAGCAACGACTACAGCGACGGCAACAAGTACGGCAAAAAAGCAATAGGTTTAGATAACCAAAACAACAACTTTGAACGTGCACTACGCTTTTAAGTACATTTCTTGCCGTCACGGCACGACTACGGCGTGAAAGTGCCCGGTTTTTGCTTTTTGGAGGACGTGAACACAAGAAAACAACTTTCTTTTTCCTTCCCTGATTTTCGATACATCATTTGACAAATTGCACGTGATGGAATAAGTGCGCTGAAGTTTGAGACAGCGCCAAATAAGTAACATTTTCGTAGCCGTCGTTGTTTCTTAAGCTCCCTGTTTCCCCAAGTAACACTCAAGTACGAGTCTACTTCGTTTTTAACTTACCAGTTGTTGTAACAGGGGATTGAGACTTCTGGCCATGTTTTCCAGTGACAAAGCCAACATGTTGTAAGCTATTGTCTTCCCAGGGAATTACACCAGTTGCCATGGTAACACAATTAGGCTCGTCCCCTTTCCACCGCGTGACATTGTCTGGAGCATGGTCTCTCTCACTTCCGCTGCTGTTCTTCTCCTGCTGCCAGGAGAAAAAACGATTGCTGACATTACCAAATATACCTGCTGCAATTTGAGTATAATGTTATTTCTGAAGGTGCAATGTAAAAAATACTTGGTGCTCAAGAGAAATTTTCTTTTCAGCTGCCATTCCTACCTACCTCTTCCCTCTCTTCTTGGTTCTGTAAAGCGTACGTTACCAACGTTCTGAAAAAAAAAAACAGCATTGCATTATTATTATTTTTTTCATTCCTAAGATCTTGAAAAAATTGTTTCTCGCCGTTTAGTTCCGAAAAATGACTTGGGAGAGATTTCTCTTAAAAGAAAAAAAGAAAAGAAACGAAAAAGGAGTGTTTTATCAACAAGTTTATATTTATACAAAAGAATGATGCAAGACGATTTACTGTTGGTAAATAAGTATCTTTGCGTTTGACCCTAGGAGTACTCGTTTTAGTCGCGTTGCGCACTGAAGCCTGGTGAGAGTCAGTTGGCTGGACTCACCCTGAATTGGAGACATCAATCAGTTTGCTCCTTAGTTCATTGATTGTTGATATATCTATAGTATCCTGCTCAGAGGCGTGCATCTTGGGTTTAACTTTTACCGGCGGTCTGTCAACTGGGACAGCTACATATAAGGGAGATTGGCGGCCACTGACAACAGACAGATTGCTACTGGTGAAACGAGTTGTTTCTCTAACGCTTGTATTGAACTTTGCTAAAGGAGGATTGATTTTATCAATTGCGCTCGGGGTCTGCAACAAAAAGAAACAAAATATATCTTTTAAGTGTACGACTAACCATTTCTATAAAAAAATTCTCGCTCTTGTATGTTATCCACATCCCTGTGAACATCTTCCTTGAACCCATTCACTCCCAAAAACAATGAGGGCCTTTAGGACACCACAACTGCGACGGCCGCGAAAACGTCGAAAGTGGTTTCGCGTTCTTTGAAACGAGATCGCGATTACTCCAACTCACTCACTCTGACAAATGAAAGGCGAACTCTCCCGGAGTTGAATCTCTAAGAACCATATCCAAGTTCAGAAAGAGAAAGGGCCTGTTTTCATGCTGGGAGGAAGATCCTAGCACCAGGAAGACCCTTGAAGGCGGATCATCCTAGGGCCATATGTTTTCTGTGTTCGGTTTACATGCAATGGGTTCTACTTGTCCCAAGCGCTAGGATCTTCCTTGCTGAAAGATCCTACCACCATGCTACGAAGATCTAGGTACTAGGGACAAATCAGACAAAAATGGCGGCGGGTCGTTCACTGGCTTATCACGGCAATGAAGGCCGACCATTTCCCTTGGCATTACCACGAACTGATTATTGTGATAAATCTGCTAAAAGGTGGTAATTAACGCCAGTAAAAAGAGCAGAAGGGCTCAAATTGCATTTCTATTTTTGGACATCCGCTATTTTTAATTCCTTCTAAATCCTTCTCTACTTGAGCACTACAAGACTGAATTTTCTGCATGTAAACCCAACAAAAAGTTGTTCCGCCTTCTACGATCTTCCTGCACGGTACTAGGATCTAACCACCCCCAAAGAAAAATCGCCGCCGTTTAGTTACGTTCTCTATAAAACATTTTCACGTTGTCGTTTTGAGAGACGGAAAAGAAATGAACCACGAAAGTGTCACACTTTAAGAAAAGTATTTCTTTTTTTTCGACGTTTTGGTTGCCGTATGGTACTTTTTGGTTAATCTTAAAACAAGGGAAAACAGCCAAAGGCGGTGAAGGTAACTTGACATAAATTGTATGGGGGGGGGGGGGGGGGGGGGAAAAAAAAAAAAAAAAAAAAATATTTTTATTTAAAAAAAAGTAAAACAATTTTAACATTGATGAGATATACAAAAATGTCCGCAATTTTTTATTTATGCAGTATATTTTTTTTTTAGGTGTTTTTGTTTTTTTTTTTTTTTTTTTGTGTTGAAAGAAAAAAAAAAAAAAAAACAAGAGAATTAATTTAATTATAAAAATGTTTTTTTTTTTTTTTTGTGTTTTTGTTGTTTGTTTTTTTTTTTTTTGTAAATTAAAAAAAAAAAGAAAAAGAAAGAGGGGGGGGAGAAATGTTAAAAGATTGTGGGGGGGGGGGGGGGGGGGGGAGGGAAATAAAGATAAAAAGAACTAATTTTTGCTTTAACAAGATTCAAGCAGCTTTACCGCACTGGTAGGCTTCAATCACGTTCCACGTTTATATTCTTGATAGGTTAATTCTTCTATATGGTATTGTCATTGTTTCTTTAAGCTTTCTGTTACGTGCATGAAGGCATGCCCACAGCATACAGGGACCAAGTATTAAGCGAAAAAACATTAATAACTAACCAAGCCAGTAGGGTTTCTGTTAACTTGCGTGTGGCCGTTGCCCGTGTATTTCTTCATGGGCCTGGGTCCTACCAATGGCTGTGGTTGAGCGTGCGCACTGTCCAGTGCATTCAACTGTGTCATGGACAGTTTACTATTCTTCGAAGCCTGAGAGGTGGTTTTGGGCCCAAGCTGTTGAACTTAAGGTAATATATTAAAGATTAAAATGCGAACGTCTTTTGTCAGTCCTCAGAATCTTTTGCAGTACTTTAGAATGGTACCACAGGGCTGTCAAAAAGATTTTAGGTTGCTGGTTATATGCAATTAGAGGTTTGGATATTGAACAGTTTAGAAGTTCTGATATTCTATTTTCCTTTTCGTTCCTCCCAATGTAGCCAGGTGTGGTGCTTGTAGCAGCCAGTAGAAATGTCCAGACCCTGGCCCCTTCTGAAAACATTGACTGAACATTTTAGCTTCATTAGATTTTAGGTCACGTGTGCAAAAACGTTGAACGTGCAAACTGCTTCTGTAAGTTCAAACATTTTACGGGGACCACAACGTGTAAAACTAAAAATTTCGAAAACGCTCGATCGAGAACACTCTCACAACAAATGTTCTAAGAGTGTTTCCCCTAAGCTAGGGCTTAAGCTAGCAAATAATACCTTCGTTTTTCGTGTCCCCACGTTCGTTAAATTTTTGCAAACTTGTTCCCTCATCTACAACAACGGATACAACTTTCTTCTTTGACGGATTTTTAAAACTTGATCTTTTTGTTTTCTTTCCTTCGAGTGACATCTGAGACAAGGATTTTCGCACTTCCGCTTCCTTCGCAGGCTTCGAGGGTTCATACAAACGTGCCTACAAAAAAAAGACCAGCAAAAGAGAATAAGTACACTCAGGTACCACTTAGGATTTTATTCACACACAAATCTTAGGAGAGGCTTGTTAAGCATAATAACCGGCACTGCAGGAAACATTGAATGGTCACTCATCCATGGACTCAAAAGTTAGAACCACCTTATAGAGCATAATATATAAATTTAGCGGGGGCTAAAAGCGAAGCCCTCGTTACAAAACGTATAATTTACTCAAGCAAAAATAAAAACGTGTAATGCTAAACGGCGACGGCATTGAGAACGGCAAAGAAAAACCAACAACAACAACGACAAAACAACTACCACAACAGTAGGTTTAATTAGCAAAAAACAACTTTGCACGTGCAGCACACTTTTTTGTACATTTCTTTGCCGTTGTTGTTGCACAGCTACAACGTGAAACTTTCTAGTTACATCTTTCACGGAGGAAACGTCGTATGTTCTCCCCCCAAAAATTGCTGTTCCTGTTCACTTTCTTTTTCACTGCCGCTCATTTTAACCTTACTGGCTTCTAACATTTCTCATTTTTTTTCTGGCAACACCGCTTTTAAAATTTTCACGTTGTGATTCTAAATTTGTCTCTTTTGTTTTTTATATCTCGCTCTAGCTCTTTTTCTGTTATCCACGTCAGCATAGACATTAAAATTTAGCCACGTCAGCATAGACATTAAAATTTAGTCGAAAAATAGACTCAGCTTTGTTGTTGTTTTTTTCCCTCTCTAAAAGTCCGGTTGGCCAAGATGACCGTAACACAGACGTCTGTCATCAAGTTATTAAAACCGCACGGGTTGAAGGTTCCACTCAAATTAAAAAAGGTCATTTCACATTGGTTATCCCGTGGTGAGGACGGAGCACGTACGGTCACGCGACTACCAAAATTTCTCCGATGCATGAATAACCAAATTTTCTCACCTATGGTGCTCCGCTAAGAAACATTACCATAGGAAGGTACTACTTAGTATCCTTCACACTTTAGGACTCCAAAGGAAAGCACTTCTCTGTTGCTTTCATTTGAGTGGTCACAATTTACGATTTCATCTACACATTCAAACGTTGGAGTCATCTTGTAGAGTATAATAAACATACGCACAGGAAAGTACTGTTTATACTGGCCTTCATTTGTGTGGTCACATCAAGTCGGAAACAAGGTAGTACTTTTAGTACTGTACATGGCGCAAAAATGTATGTGTACTTTACTTTTCGAAATGACGTGAGTTGCCTTGAATTTTTTGAACTTATACCTTGGTGCTGGACAAGCAGTCTGCCTTCGGCTGCCATGGAAAGAAAGGATAAGGTTGAACGGGAGTCCTGGGTCTGAGTGATGGCGATGGCTGGAACTCAGTCTCCTGCGCTATTATACCGGCTGTCTTGTAGCGCGAGTTGTACATAGTGATTTTTCGCGCCAGATCCAAGGCTGAACTGATTCTGTTTTCGTTCCGACTCAGTCGCGATACTGGAGAGGTGCATTCTACAAAACAAAATCGCAGAAATAAGTTCCCTTCCTCCGGTTGTTGTATATCTTGACTTTGACGTCCACGCATTAAGGAGATGGTTAATCTGTCGAAAGCGAAGGGGAAAGAGGTTAATTCGCGTTCCTTCCGCCTTGTCACAAGCCCATTTCAGTCCCCAATCCCCCCGACCGCTTGCCGCGCACACAGTTGAGGGGCTTATTGTGACACTGGACTCCACACACACGACGCTTGCAACAATACCCGTCTGTAACTACTTTCGATGTAAACAAAATGAGTAAATTAACAGAAATACGTTACTACGGTTTATGCTTTCGCCATAAATCAAAGACAACTGTCCTTATAATGCTAACACATTGGCCGCTTTTTATACTAGAGGACGCGTTATCCGTCCACACGCACGGATAATGCGTCTATAGCCGTCTTTATACTACAGTCGCATTATCCGTCTGTACGAAATTGGGCAAACATTTTGTAGTTCGTCTGGTTATAATAATAATAATAATAATAATAATAATAATAATAATAATAATAATAATAATAATAATAATAATAATAATAATAATAATAATAATAATAATAATAATAATAATAATGGTTATGCGTCTTAATAATAATAATAATAATAATAATAATAATAATAATAATAATAATAATAATAATAATAATAATAATAATAATAATAATAATAATAATAATAATAATAATAATAATAATAATGGTTATGCGTCCCAAGTATAAAAACGGGCACAAGACGCATTATACGTCTGGACGAACTATCCTTTGTAATACGTCTTGAACGACGCACTACGCAAGGTAGCTCGTCTGGACACATGCGTCTTGTGCCCGTCTTTATACTTTAGACGCATATCCAGACGAACTACAAAACGTTTACCCAAGTTCGTCCAGATGGATAATGCGTCCTTAGTATAAACATTCCATTGTTAAGGAAAACTAATGACCGCGAATATAAGAAAACTACAAAAATGCTCAATTCAGATTTGGTTTCGTTTGCTTTAATGAAACTGTCAAACAGTGGACCGATGCTTACACACATGATTGGAGGGGATTTAACGAAACCAGGCAAAAAAACTTGTTCAAATCAGGTTTACTTGAAATAGACACATTGAATTCTGTAGACACATTCAGTTAAAGAGTCAATGATGTAAAGGGAAAAACAAACAAACGAAAAAACACTATTTCGCTATAATCGTATTTAAACGTTCACTGTGTTAAACGTTTTCTTTCATTTCACGTACCAGTTGTTTTTTCCAGCTGCTTCGCCAAGTAAGACACTGTAAAATGTCCCTCTTCTTCACTAATTTCAAATCCTTGAGGGTGAGGCACATGACTGGCCACAGACCAACCACTTATGCTAACAAAACAGGATTTACATGAAGCACAAACCACAAAGCTCCATACAATGTGTTATAAAACAACATATAGGGTACAAGAGGTCATGGTTGGCGAGTGCATTTTCCTAACGGTACTCTACTCTGGGTATGATGTCTTTGCTCCCTTCTTGTAACTCGTAGTTTGCTACACAGCCGTTTTTAGTGTCGTCACGCAACGCATCCTGTGGGGATGAGCGTTGCGTGACGACACTTAAAACGGCTGTGTAGCAGACTATGTAACTCGCCTCTTATTCTGTGAATTTATTCTCCACTAGTTTGCTTGAACCACCCTACCCTTCCCTTTTTGCTCTTGCGTCGGATTTCACGCTTTCCTTTTACGGGAACGAGTGCTAAGCAGCAGGGGCACCCAACGACGCTTTCCTCCCAAAGAAATTGAAAACAATTTTAGGCTATCCAGAGTACTGTTGGATTTCTAGAAATGCATTCTAAGCGGCACTACAACATTTGTATCTGTTCGGTCATCCTAGGGGAACTTGAACCTTTTCGAAATCACAAGGGCTTGAATATTATTTTCCCGAAAAATTTTAGATGCAATTTGACGTATTACGACAGTGAGACATTTCTGATTCCTCTCTCCATCGCATTTTTGGATCCGAAAATGTTAGGTTTCCTTTTTTCTACGAAAAATAGCGTAACTTGGGAAGTAAAATGTGAAAATAAAAGTTACCATTTTTATTAGGAGCAGTGAAAAGAATAGCATCAACAACACAAACTCAACTACTAAGTACTTTCCTTGCGTCTATACAAATTTATCTTTCTCGCGATCAAACTTTGCAGCACTTTACCCGGACGTGGCTTAAGCAACTTTTGAGGTTCCACCGTAAACACTTCATAAATGTAGTATAATAAGCCTGCTTTGATGATTAACTTTTCATATTACAAGATGAAATTGCTTACTTGTCATTTCGTTCAGGGGACAGCGTTTCCTTTAAATATGTTTTACCATCCGTGTAGCGAAAATGTGGAACATCTGAAGAAAAAAGAAAACATTAAGTGAGATTGTGAGTGGAGTACAATCAAACCTAGTAAACACAGACGCAGAAGGGACGGAGCCAAGGTACGTATCACAGAGGTGTCCGTATTATGACGGTACAAGCTGTATGAAGCTTGGTATATCTGAGACCGCAACAGTTGTCCAAAATAGAGAGGTGCCCTTATGAATGAATGCGTAAGTACCAAAACGTTGATGCGCGTCTATTAGGGGGAAACTTCGAGTGGGAATAGCTCGTTACCTGATAAAGGTCAAACTAACTTTGGTGGTGGGTAGCCTGTGTACAGCCACCCTCTCCCCTTCGGTAGCGAGGGTCTCTTCCCGAAGAGTGGGGGCGGCTGTACACAGGCTAGTGGTGGGTGGCTTCAATAAAACAGGGCTTCTGATATTTCGCGCGGTCGCGGACCCGCGAAATTCCCAAAAAGACGCGATATACCGCGAAATCCGCCAGAAATATTTCCAAATACATGTCGGCAAAGCATATTTAATGCTTATCTTGGCTATTAGACCGGTTTTATTCACACCAAACGTCCAAATTCGTCACTAGAACGAGTAAACAACGTCCCAAAACTACCAGGCGTTTTTAGATGAACGTTGCGAAAAACTGGGCACTAACCATAATGTTAATTAGCTAAAGCATTCGCTCATTTCTCGAGCGAACTGTTGTTGAAAGAGCAAATGATTATCCCTGTTAAAAGAAACGTTCACCAACGCTGGTCATATTGACGCAAAATTGATCGAAAATTTGCCAAAAAAAATCCAGCGAAATTGGCTGTTTTTTACTGATTGTTTCTTGGCGAAGTTTCCCTCCAAAATTTCCCGTGCAATCGGCCGATTTTTTCTAGGAATTTGCCCCTGAAAATCCTTCGAAAATTGACTTTTTTCCGCTAAAATCCCGCGAAATCGGCCGATTGTTCGGCGAATTTTGATTTTTTCCCCGTGAAAATCCCGCGAAATCGACCGATTTTTCCGCGAATTTGCCCCTGAAAATCCCGCGAAATCTTGCTTTTTTTTCCGCGAAATATCAGAAGCCCTGATAAAATGACGATGGCCGACAAAAATGGCTTGTTTACCTTTAGACTCGGTCACTAGCACCCCACTCATCATGTACGCGCTGGTCACAGCTTCCAGGTAATCATGCTGTAAAAATATTAAAAGCAGTTATAGAGTCCACTGCTTTGTTTTCCTTTAGATGTTTCACCCTTACAAACTCTGATCATGATATTGTCGCTGCTTTGGAGAAGGCTACGGATTACCTAGGGCTTCCCACACCCTACGTCCCAGAGACAACGTGTTGGTCAACTGATGGGAAATTCATACTATCCCACATTCCCCCTCCTCTAAAATTCTTTGTCTGTTCTTATCGATAAATCTGTGTCTTCGGTCCCTTTAGCGGAAGTTGGTAATAATAACAAAGTCAAATGAATTTCAAAGGAAATCGATTTCGTCGCCACGCCGGGTGCACCCTAATCTTTGTACTTGACTATGATAAACACGTGACAACAAGTACACCTTATTCGATGGTTTAGCATATAATACGTGCGGATATTTAGATATTAGTCATTCACTGAACATCCTGATTCCGTCTGTAATAATGACGTTAACAATGAGCAAAGTTGTCGCGCGTATTATATGCCAAACCTTTGAATGAGAGGTCAATTATTTTATTGCAAAAGAAAAAGATGTTATTTTGGCTTCTGTTTTCTAGTAAGAGGTATCCAAAATATCCCGATTCTGTCAGCCATAGTTGCTCCTTTTGCATTCGCCGGTATTCGCCCTGTTGTAAACCGGTTAAACCAGGAAACTACAGTGTATTACGGCCTCGTATTTTGCGCGTTCTCTTAACCTTATATGGAAAAATGACATAATAGTGGAATAATAAAAGAAAATAACTCCCGGAATGTAAACTTGTAGGTCGCAATCGTTGGGAAGGTCGTACTAAAATAAATTACCTTAGGATAGCCAGCTCCTGGGATAGCCCGTTCCACTTGTGGGACAAGTGGAACACTATTTTTAGGTGACTTAAAAGAAAAGTTAAAGAAAAAATATCCGTCGGGTTTTAAATGGAGGAGGAGGGAAAAGTATTATCACTTTGGAAATTGACAGACACCCATAAGAAAGAGCGTTCTTTGCAACTACATCATTGACCTACCCTACAAGCATTTCCATCCATTCTCAACACACTAGGTTGTGAGGCAGGCGTCGATGATCTGCTGTTTAAATCCTTGTGTTCATGCTTTCGAACCTGTGGATTGTCCATCTTCATCCGCGCTGGACTGGGTTGAGAAGACCGCTGGAGAAGATTAAAAGAAATCGATTAATTTGGAAGAAGATTTCTAACACCAGAAAGCTCAGAAAAAATTCCGAGCTCCAGGCGAGAATCGAACCCACGACCCTCCGAGTTCTAGTTCGGACGCTCAAACCACTGAGCTACTATGTCGGCACATTCTCATACCCAGGGTCTCAAGGCGTCTCGGTCAATGGTTGGTCGCCAGGGAGAGTAATGAATCGGTTTTCTACTATTGAGTGCAATTGGCAAACTTTCGCCTTTCTGCGACTACGCGGAAACTGAATAATCGCTTCCAATTCGAGTACACAAAACTGGAAACAAGATTATATTCGATGACTCTGTCTACCACAGGATGGCTGTACTGAATACTGACCACAAAATTAGTTAATCACCAACTGCTGACAAGGAACAGCTGAAGGAAGTCTGTCACCTCTAATTTCGAGATTTAATAACGTTACGAAGACAAGATTTTATAATTATATAATTTTTAATTTCTTGAGGATCTCGTTATCTCACTGGAGGACGCAGCGTGGCCGAGCAGTTAGAGCTCTAGAATTGCAATCCGGAGGCGCCGGATTTGTTCTCGGTAGTCCGGAGTTCAACTTCTCGGTCACGCTTGTAAAATAGCTAATTGGTTTGCGTCCGGCCAGTTTGGATTGTTAACATTGATAAGTTTATTTTCAAATATTTCTTCTGTCCTTACTTGAGGTCTACAATTAAAACTACTGGGTTACCAGTAATCGTTCTACTCCCATAAAGTCGACTTTTTTTATAACCGTTTTGTTTGGATATCATTTTACGGGGTTTTATCTGGATATCTCAACACAACTTTATTAGACGCTCACCTTCGGATGATGTCTTTGATACATTAACTTGACTTCATTAGGTGGATCGTGTTGCTGGTAAAATAGAAACAAGAAACAAATCACGTATAAGCAATCAATGTAAAGAGGAAGTCTCACCTATAAGCCTTCATGGCTTCTTGAGACTTGCTCGCCTTTTGAGATTCTTTTCTTTCGAAATGTGTATAATATTACGTGTTTTTTCCCATTCATGTGTAAAAAAGGGCAATTAAAAATCGATAAAAACCAATAATCTTTGTTAGAAGCGAGGAAGAAGGTCAGCAACCACAAAGTAGTGTGTTTCTCGTCGGTGATTTAATTTTTTTGTCTCTGTTTTCAAAGTTTGAGACACGCTAAGCAATAGGTAGAACATCAACTCTCTCGAAGACGGACACCTTTGGGACTGGCACTATGTGTCCGTCTTAGAGAAATATCCGTTACAGAGTTTGAGAGTAAACCAGAAGGAGTAAAGAAAGGCGAGCCGGGACCAACTCCGTCCGTTTTATGGAGGTGTCATCCGGGAGATTGAGCAACAACGACGGCGACGTCTACGAAAACGTCAGACAAAACGTGAAATTAGGCAATTTCACGTTGTAGTCGTGCAATGAGGGCAAAGAAATGTACAAAAACGCGTGTGACGTGCAAAGTTGTTGTTTTGCTAATCTAAACCTATTGCTTTTTTGCCGTTCTCGTTGGTGTCGCCGTCGTCGTTGATTAACCTGCCTATTAAAGAGAAAGTTGACTGTAACACCACTTACAGCAGATCTTTTGGCCACATCAGCTAACAACACGTCCTTGACTTTCATGGCTTTCGCACGTCGCTTGTTACGTTCTTTTCTTGTCTTTAGTTTTTTCTTCCTTGGTTCCTAAAACAAATGTATGAGAATAATTAAGATGGCCTGCTTCGCTTAGGAGCACGTAAAAATTTGTGCTGCTCTTTGCTTTTTATGTTTCTTATAACAGGCTGCACAGAGACTTCCCGAAACGTTGATCCAAAAATGCTAAGCATTGTATACAGCTTTATCAGTAAATTTTAACCGTGATGGCCATATTTTTGTTCTTCCCTTGTTCTATTTGAAGCCTTAACTGAATAAAAAGTTCGTTTTTGTTGTCAACTTATTTTCCAGTCGACAACGAAACGTTATAGACACTACAAAGACAACAACGTCAAAGAAAGAAATAACTAATTTTCCGGCGATGACAAACGAAGCAGTTTTGGTTTCAAGAACGAGCTTTTCTCAGTCGTCAATGAGACAAATAACTGAGCGCATGTTCATATGACCCCATAAAAAAAAAAAGCCGGCAAGAACTCTTGTAATGCTTCAAAGCGGTTTCAAAAAAACTGTTTCAAAAGTAATAAGGCAAACAAAACAAAATCTTTTCTTTAAGTTTGCACTGTTACTTATGTGATTGGCTAGAGAAAAATGGCACCGCTTTGTCAACCAATCACGTGCAGAGCCATATGACATGTGACCAGCCTTTTAGCGCGCTTTTTAGGCGACGCACCGGCTGTATGTATACATGTATGTTCAGAATTCTAACTGGTGCAATAAACGTCTGTGTTTTTGTGATAAGCGAACGCAATAACATTACGGAACGCAAATGACACAACACTAACGAGATAACTTACCAATTTTAGTCCCTCAGGAGCGTAAATTAGATGCATGGGAAGACCGTCCGACACCGAACTGTCTGAACCACCAGTGCTAAAACGTAAAGAAAGTTATTTTAAAGATCGTACAAGGAAACATTAAGATTTTATCCTGAGGTTTCCAGTCCTTTCCAGGGTAGTCTATCTTGGGTCTTGTCCTAAAAATTTGTAAAGGGCTTTTCTATTAATGGCTTTTACCATAACTAAACCTAAAGGGTAGGTTAATCAAACGAAGTCTAACTTAGACCGCGGTTTAGGAAATCTTTGGACTTCGAGGTCTCGTCCATAGTGGATTATTTTAAGAAGACAAATTCGAGCAAATGCTGTTCTAGTCTACGCCATGTGATTTCATGAAACTCTTCACGATAAGTGGTGTTTATATAAGAGCGTTCTGCAAACTGAAAATGGCTTAGAACGCGGTTTTGTCAAACACTGGCTAAACTCCGTTTAAATAACTGGCCCAAAGGGTTTTCATTTTTCACGTACCTCGATTCTATGTCCGATGGGTAGTTAAGGTCCAGATCTATGTCGGATTCCGTCAAGTTAGGTGCGGCAGTTCCTTTGCGTTTCATGTTTTCTAAAATCTCTGCCTTCATTTTTAGTTCCAACTCTCTTAAGATAGTTATGTACTGAAAAGAAAATTGATCGTTGTGGGTTTGCGCGGAAGACTGGGTAACAATTGCGTCGAACTGCATTGTGGGACTGTTTTGGAGGACGAATTTTGAACCACTTTTTGTAAATGAATAAATAAACGTATCATCCTAATATGCGACCGTAGAAGAGAACGCGTCCCCCGAACAGTTCCATAATGGAATTCGAGACAACACCGACCTAGTTTCAACCTCAAAGTTGCCAATATAATGAAAATTAATTAATAAGCGCCGGTCTGCCGAGCGGGAGGCCTCTGGTTCAAACATCAAGCGGACCAACACTCAGGGTTTCTTAATAACTGAGGAGAAAGTGCTACCTTTCCAATAGAGACCTTAAGATCCAGGTTTGGCCATTTTACTGCAAAAGTCAAACTGCGGTTTGCGGTTTACGGTATCACGTCACCCGTCTGCCCATATTTGAGACTTAAGATTCGCTGGTGGTAGCTCGCGGCTGCCATGTTTGTTTTCATTCATCCACTTACTTATATTTTAGCTGAGAAACTGTCTTAATATTTACGTTTCTATGAAAAAGAATTCGATAGTTAATAAGCGAAAAAGTTCTACAAAGTAGTACTTTCTCACATACGTGGGATTGGGATGTTTTAGGGTGCAAACTTCCGGCATCTTGCGGTAAATCACTTATCTCTAGAGCATGGTCTAGTCGTACAAACGTGAGCCTCAAACCCTCAGACTGCAAACCTGACTGCAAGGCACTGGTCAAGTAACTTCTTGACGTTCGCGGTTCGCGGGAAATGCCGAAAAACCACGATCTTAAGGTCTCTATTGACATCTGCAAACGGTTAGATTTTCCAGTCTTCTCGGATAAGAAGGCTCCGTCTCAAAACCTTACATATTTAATAAATTCTCGGTGGGACGATAAAGGACCCACACGGACGTAGTCCCCAGTGTGGTGGTCAATCCCAAATTCACACTCACATAGGGGCCATGCAAAATGGGCATGCATCAGTTACTCTTTCCTTCATTAATTGTAAAATGCACTGCATTCAGTTTAGCAAAAAGTCCCCCAACCAATGTTGAAAATTTTCCCTGAAAAGCCTTGAGGGGAGTGGATAGTAAGATATTTACAAATAACAATTTACAAGACAAAAAACTAATGTTAACCCACAGGGGCCGCTCGCACTCCCAGTATTGTGTGTGACAAAAAAATCCAGGCTAGTAGTCGTTGAACAAAGGCCAAATGCCACCATCCAAGGGAGGGTTGAGGGATACGATTACGTATTTTATTTTAATCCCGTTGAGTTGGAGAGCAAAGCTACGACAAACCTTCGAATCATCAGGATCACAGTAGTCTAACAGAGTGTCACACAAATGATATCCCATTGACTCAAAGTCGACGGTGTTAAAATGATACCCTGCACGTTTCCCCAGTGACGAGCCACAGAAGGTTGCCTAGGAAAAACAAACAAACCAAACTCAGAGCATGGCCACAAAATCAGAAAAAAAAATTTAAGACACGTAGGTGACTCCAGTATAGTTTCATTCTCAGATACGTGTACCTGATGCAGGCACTGAGTGGTCATTGGCACGCAGGCTAAGATGAACTTGAACGTTTACAAAATATAATACTGCACTGTGCAAGATGTTTTTCAACGAACCATTAGCATAGTGTTCAGTTTCATTAAAGTTGAGATTTATATGAATAGGACTCTGAGTGGTCGCTTACGAGAGCTTAAAAACAAAGGAAAAGGCCAGTTGGGTGATTCCAAAAGTGGTTGCGATCGCTTACGGGAACGGTCGCTTACGAAAGCTTTTCATTACAAAGTTTCAGTCACGGGTCAAACGGGGTTTCATAAAGGTGGTCGTAACTAGAGCTGGTCGCTTACGAGAATGGTCGTAAGGAGACCTTCGATTGTAGTTTGAAAAGCTGTGCGTCGAGTAATAGGAGACAGCTCACAAAGACACTAGTCACTGTAGAAACGTCTCATTGCAGCCTGGACTAGCACACAAAACATTAAAAAAAACGACACGCAGAATTACCTCCATGGTGAAGCTGTTCAAAATTCCCAAGTTCCACATCACAATTCTCCCAGTTCCTTCCTGCACAGGAAAACCAAGAACAGCACAATCAAAAATACGCTATCAGGTATCCCCCAAAGAGCAGCCAAAATTACATACATGACTAACTAGAGGAAACCAACTCTGTTCATTGTATACCCAAAACGGTACACCTACCTTGCTTTTTTGGACCTTAAATTTGCAGCTTTTGAATGAGAACTACGGTGAAAGAAAAAAAAAGTAAATTCAGGTTACAACTATAAAATACAATCAACTCCCTTCAAGACGAGCAGAAAAGGACAAACAAAGCAACAACAACAAAACAAGGCTGATTTTACATAAGTATATCACACTTGCAACAAAATTTACCTTGGTTGGCGCATTTTTCGAAATCATCACAGGAAAAATTCTCTCCCTGAGTCTTTTTAGGGGATCAAACCTATTTTCACAGCCGTATATAAACACATTCTGTTTGCGACTATGCCCATGAAGATCACAGTACAAAGTTATGTCTCGTTCCTCTAATAATCTGCGAAAAAAAAGGCACAATTACGTAGATTTTAGACTGTACTGAAAGTCTCGAGTATTCAAGTAAAATTCACTGCAGACGAAGACCACACTCACTTTCGAACCATGCTCCTCACGTGCCATATTGGAGGAAAAGAATCTTTCAATACCGTCTTATAGTTCCTGTTCAGATCTCTGCCAGCCAATGAACAGCGATAGTTTCCAACAATGACTCCATCTGGGTTCAGCATGGGAACAATTTTGAAAATGAACGTGTCTCGTAGAAGCTGGAAACAAGAGAGCAAAGACCACATTGATTCCAATTCCAATTTCTTTTGGAGTCTTTTGGAGTTGAACCCTTCAAAGTTCCAAATGTCGCCGTCACGTATTAACGTCCTTTGCTTTTTAGGGTGGATTAATTTGAAGCATACAGCTATTTCGAAAAAGGTTGTCGCAAAAAATGTGCACGCGACAATCCCGAAAAGTAATATGGGATATGATCAATACACTGTTCCTGAAGGCTGTAGCTGTCGAAACTACTTTTGTTGCTTTCCTTTAACACGCGCAAACATACGTCCTGGCCTCCCGTGCCATTTTTTCAAATTTCTTTGAAGAAAAGTGCATTCAAAATCATCCACAATACCTTTCGGGATTGCCGCGTGCATTTTTTCCGACAACCTTTCTCGGAATAGCTATATGCGCATGGCCGTCTCCTTGGCCTCTTGGGAATTTTTACTGTTTTTAAGCCGGAAAGCAATGAAAGATTTCAACGGACATGCGAGTATGCTGAAAATGAATCGACCTATAAGGGATACGTTTGAATGGCCTGGTTATAGGTAGACTGCAAGTAGTCTCTATTTTTCTTCAGATTTAGTGAGGGGAGTGCACGAGTGCGCGAGCGTCGAGCTGCGAAGCCTCTCCCGTCTCGCGCCTTTAGTCACGCGCGTGGTCACTTTCGTGTGTCGCGCGTTCCGCTCGACAGACTATGAAAAAAGAGAGAACGCTCATAGTCTAGGTTATGGGTGAACTTTGCAAGAAAAACTAACATTTTGGCTGATATCAAGTGTACAAAAAAGCAGTTGCAGTTTATGTAATCAACCTGGACATCATCAGCCTTGATTGTTTCAGACAATCCTATGCTAAATCACCTTATAATACCAGCTATTAAACAAACAAAAAACAGTCAACAGTCATATGGAACCTTAGCATCAGCAGCATTGCTTGTGAGATAATCTAAAAGTCCTTTCATCATCCAACTTGAGTTTGTTTCTCCCGGGTGAACCCGTGCTGTCACCACCACACCTTGTTTGGCCTGTCAAACAAACACACAATTTATACGACAGTGGGTTCAATTGAACGTGGATTGTAATCTGACATATGCATTGCCTAATTCCATTCCCAGGAGAGCTGGGTTCGAGTCCGTTTGTTATGCGATAAACAACACAAGACTCACATTGTCAGAAAGAGCACATTGAGGTTAAGAAAAATCCCAAGTTTGGTGTCAGTCGGACCAATATTGAACAAGACACAGCTATTTAAAATCTTGAAAATTTATAAGAGATATATGGATTGCCGGACACACCGTCCGGACGTCTATACCTTTCTTAGTAAATTTTGGAGTTTTTTAATGGATGTATCTCGTTCAATATAGGCCTGTTCAACACCAAACTTAGGAATGTTACTAACCCCTACGTGCTCTTTCTCACTACGTGGGTCTCGTGTTGTTTATCCCATAATAAACAGACTCGTACCCAGCCCTCTACTGTCAAATAATGGGGTTTCGTTGAAAGTACTTTTTCTTTTCTACCCTTGGTTCACACGGCATGATTTGGCTTTCATCTTACCAAAAAAAAACTGGTTTGCCTACAAAAGCTTAGAAAAAATATATTTCTGCTTAATACCTGATGCCATTTTAGAGTACTTGATGTTTTCCCCAGGTCGGACCCAGCCGATTTTTTTAGGTGCGGCGTCTAGCTCTACGTAAAGCAAAGGTCTCATGATGATGATAATGATGATGATGATGATGATGATGATATTGATAATGGCGGTGGTGATGGTGGTGGCAGTAGTGATGATGATAATGATGATGCTAATGCTTGTGCTGATGATGATGATGACAACGTTTCAGGCACGTTTTGAGGTTTTCTTGATGTGCTTTTTCGTTTGTTTAGGTTTTCTAAAGCGTATTTTAATGCCTGACATCTTCATTCATAACATTTTGAAACTTCGTCGCCATCTTGGCACTAAGACGTACGGAAGGTTTCCATGGCAATTCTGTAATTTCAGATGTGAGATTATTAATTAACGCTGAAATTTTCGCGCCAAAATCGAGGAGTACTTCGTCACCAATGATATTATGGTTGTAATTTTTCATCATTTTTTCATTATTTTACAAACCTCGGCATCAGCTGGCCTTCTCGAGGGATTCGTCACTGTAAGAATATAAACAAAGTTCCCAGCAAGAGTGCGACATAACACTCTCTGTTTGCAAATTCTCGATCGCACGGGGTCATTCCTCAAGTTTTGAAGATATTCCTTGCAAAACAAACAGAAAAGGTACAAGTATCGTAAGTAAAAGAGCTTATGTATCCATGTATGGAGGGTCAAATATCGGTGTAAACTGGTTGCAATGTACAACATGCTTACCATTTCCTACTAATAAAGCATCAACTACGTTAGGCTGAAAGGTTCTTTTAAAGCCATTCAGATAGTGAGGAGCGACTTGAATAGACCTTATTCACGATACCGGCCATCTTTGCACGAGCTTAAGGTACGGAAAAACGGGCAACAAAACACATGCAACTTGTTTTGCAACTTGTTTTGCAAAACGAGTTGAATAGCGATGCTGTCATTCTGCATTCATTTTCTTTGATGTCCAACAGTAGTACAAGGCGGACACCTAGAGTAAGTCAGCGTCGTCTTTCAACCACGACGTCGACAGCTCTTTCATTTTTGACCGCGATTAGTCCTACTCAAGTTACTTTGTTAAATGTAGGCGAACTCCCATATAGTTGAAATCCTCAGAACCATATCCAAGTTCCGAGACAGAAAAAAATTTGGTAGTCGCTCGTTTACGTCCTCCTTAAGAGCGTGAAATTTTAGGCATCAAGTCGTGGTCGTACACTGACGCAGAGAAATGTACAAAAAAAGTGTGCTCCTTGTGCAAAGTTGTTGTTTTGCTCATTAAAGATATTGCTTGCTATTCTGAAGTTCTCGTAGCCGTCGCCGTCCGTTATACAAACGAAGTCTAACATAGGCCGCGGTTTAAGAAATCATTGGACCTCCAGATCTCCTTCTTAGAGGGTTAATTTAAGCAAAAAAAGGGCTTTTCTAGTCTACCCTATATACTTTATTGAAATTGTTCACAGTACCGTACACCGACCGCCCGACCGACCGACCGCCCGTCCGTCCGCACCACAAGCATGCCAATGTAAAATAACTCAATCAACAGGTATGGCAACCCAAATGCAACTCAAGGTTTTATTTGGAAGGAAATCACATGGCCGCCCAGACTTTTAGAAAGAAAAAACAACAACAAAGTCGTATCTTTTTCGGCGTTATTCTTTATGTTTACACTAACGTGGATAACAGAGAAAGAGCTAGAGCGAGTGATTAACAAAACAAAGGAGACGAATTTCGTAGGAAGAAAAACATGGAAATTCAAAGCGGCGGTGAAAAAATAAGAAATGCTAGCAGCCAACAAGGTGAAAATGAGCGGCAGTGAAAAATAAAAGCGAGCATGAACACAGGAAAGAAAATATTGGGTAAGCACACACGACAATTCCTCCATAAAAATAATGTGTAACTAGGAAGTTTGAAGTTTTAGTCGTACAAAACAGCGTTGTTGTCGTGCAAAACAACGGCAAGGGAAAGACAAAAAAGTGTGCTGCACGTGCAATTTGTTTTTTTGCTAATTAGACCTATTAGTCTTGAAGCCATTTTCACTGTCGTCCCCGTTTAGCATTGCACGATTCATTTTTTTTTTGTTTACACGTATTATTAACCAGAGCTTCGCTTTTAGCCCTGGCTAAATCTATATATTAGAAATTTTAAGAGTAAAGGATTTTGAATTCAGAAGACAAACCTGTAAATCTGAGTAGTTGTAGGGATAACAGTGCGCAAAGTAGTACGTGTCGTCCTCATTTGGAAAGTCACACGTCCAGGTCAGAGAATAGTGATACTTTTCTTTTGTGGTGTCTTCACGTCTACAAAGACAACAAGAAAAAGTGGTTAAAAATTTTAGTGAGGTCCAAAGCAATTAACATTGGATTACTGTGTTCTGTGATTGGATGGAAAACAAATTCGGGGTGCACGCATTTTTTCAGCGCTTTGCACTTGGCCGCCCTATTAGCATTTCTTCGAAATTTGATTGGCGTATTTTACTATCAGCTCGCACGTGATTGGCTCAAAAAAAGATCACGCCATTTCCTTCCACTAATGAAAAATAAACCCATTATACCGTCATGACTTGCTCACACGCGTTTTCCCGCGCTTTTCGCCCGCTGTTTTTGCTTCACTGATTGGTAAATTTGAACGTCTGCTCGCACTGTGATTGGCTGACGCAAAAATTTACGTCAGTTTTAACTCATGAAGCTCCGACTGAAAATGCTCTTCGACGATTTCCTATCAACGAAACTGTAGTGGAACTCGGCTATAACGCAGTGCCAAGACTGGAAAAATCGCTTGCATGTTTCAAAGGTACGTTATGTCAAAGGAAGCCCTGTTCCATAGATTTTAATACATGTATCACTGACGCTAACTTTATTCGCTTTTGTCATATAGAAAAATAGGGGTTGGTTTAAATAACGTGATTTCATTACATAGTAAGTACTTTTCCTTTACTACTCTCGATCCACACGGCCCGATTTGTGCAGGACGTTTATCTTAAGAAAACTGGTTAGCCTACAGCAGCTCAAGAAAAGATCTTCTGTACTATACCTTACGCCATTTTTGTAGTACTTGATGTTTTCTCCAGTTCGGACCCAGCCGATTTTCTTGGTTGCGGCGTCTAGTTCTGAGTATAGCAAAGGTCTCATACCTTCATTATAAAGACTGCCAGACTACAGTATGAGAAGAATAACAAAATCCGGGTTAATACTTCATATTCAGAGGGATCAATAATAAAAATACTGGGAACTAGTGTGGAGCTCTTTATTTAACATAAAATAAAGTTTCCCTTTTTCACTTGCAAATTTGTAGGCAATAATTTCATTACGAACCGTATTATGATTTCTCGTTTTCATTCTTCGTTTTTCACAGACGCTGCAGCCTACGAGTCATGGGCTCCCGACGGACGTCTGTATGGTGGTCGTGATAATGGTAGTGGGGGGGGGGGGGCAAGTTTATACCCCAACATAGAAGAAACTGTATAATTTCGTGACTTTGTGGATCTATATCCTCGTTAGCCTAACACTTGGCAAATGTACAAATCGTTCTAGCATTGTTTCACTTCCTGGTCCATGTTAAAAATCGTGGAAGGGCCCATTGCATTCAACATCAAGCGATCAGAATCAGAAGTTTCTCACACCTCAAAAAACAAACAACGAACAATAATTAAATAAGCGTGTCCTTTTTCCCGGCCTCCGCTCTCACCTTAAGTAGGTTCATGATGGTGAACTGGTACTTGATGCCAGGCCTAGTGTTCTGTAATCTGAAGTAATACCACTGTGTGTGTTTATTGGTGTATAAATCATTTCTCAGCCACAGCTGGTATTCATGATCATTTCTAAAAGATCAATCGAACAAAACAATGTTGATAATTTTACAACAAAAGCACTTAATTTGAGTGTCAATGTATTTTGCACAAAAGTACTTATGGAGGTCATTATTTTAACGTCTTCTAATGCAGACGGTACCGTCATTTTACGTGGTCATCCGAACCACGCGAAGGTCTCAGTCCCGCTTGCAGGGCAAAGGCGGTATCGTCATTTCTCAGTTATTTCAAGACCCTGAGTATTGTTCAGGTTCGGGAAATCGAACCCACCACCTCCTGCTCTGCAGTCAAGCGCTCTACCGACTGAGTTATGAATCCTGCCTTCTTGATCCATATTTTATTTCCTTTCTTTCACATACAAAATCATACAAAAAGAATTATAGAGAGATTTAGAGTCCTGTTTACCGCAAACTTCTCAAATTAGAAAATGAATGGATAAAAACTGCTCAAAACAATTAATTATGGATAAAATGGCATAACATTACTGATTTCCGTGTGGATAATGATGAACAGTAAACGACAAGTAAAGGAAAAACTTACGTTACTGCGTACATCTCCCTTTAGTAGCCTGAGAAAACAGCTCTAACCCTAACCCTAACCCTCCACCCCCCTCTCCCTTCCCCAGTGACCACTACATGTACATGTACATCTTTGACAATGAAATCATAAGGTTGTCATCCTTTTCTTATATTTTGTGTGAACATACATTGTACATTGAAATACACGTAAGACTGCGGGTAATTAAATAAGAGACCTTTAAGCACAACATCACGAATTAAAATTTACACAACATATTACATACTCACACTTTTATTGCCCTCAAGAGATTCCCGCACTCAAATCGAGACTCAAAAAGCAGTGTATGGTCATCAGGTGTTGATAATTTATAAAAGGGTTTATTGGAAATCTGACTGCCACCAACACGAGACCTGACAAACTGAAAATTAATTGCCACAAATGAGAAAATTAACGTAATAATAACGCATTTCAATATTACTATTGGGCACTTTAGCAATGATGACAACAATGGTAGTGAAAACGTCGCTGAAAAAAAAATAATTTGCATCCTGTTAAACTTTATAGTGTTTATTTCGAACCACTCAATTTGTCAAATGTAGGCAATTTCTGCTGGAGTTGAATTCTTTTAATACGGACTTTATCCAGATTCCCATGTTCACGTCCCCCATAAAACGTCGCATTAGGAGATTTCACGCCAACGGGCAGTGGACGTCAAAGAAATGCAGCATGTACTAGAAAGCATGACGCACGTGCAGAGCTGTTATTTTGCTCATAAAACTAATTATCAATTATTTTTGTTGTTGTTCTTGTCGTTGTGGTTGATTAAGCTCCCAATTATCTTCTCAAGGAAGCGTTTTCCAGGCATGTACTGTATCTACTAGTGAATTTGGCAGCTGCCACACTGGTTGTCACACTACATAACTGCACTACAGTATAACTTGAAAAAAATGTGTTGCACTTACATATTTC